TACACAAAACAGTTTAATGGGAGTAAAACAGATGGCAGCCAAGAAGATGGTGGAGAGACAAACACAAACACCCTGAGTCATTAACTGGAAACAGTCTGAGAGATGAATGGAGGTGGGTGATATCTGCAGCACCGAACCACAAGAGCTCTAAATGCTTAAGAAGAAAATAATGAGTGGCCCTGAAATCTCATTCTGCCCCTCCCCCCCCCCATGCCCCTCATCCGCCTGCTATGTTTTCGTCCCCTTCTGTTTTTCTGTGTTTACGTCCTCAATTATGCATACGCTTGCAACACTGGATACTAACAAACAGCAACAAATGTAAAGAACATTAAACAAAATACGCACACCGCAGACAATTATATATATAAAACGCATTATACAGTTTACGCACAGCTTGTAAACAAAATACGCACACCGCAGACGCTTATATATATATAAAATGCACTATACAGTTTACACACAGCTTGTATACAGACTATTTTACACACAAATAAATTTATTGAAACTTTAAAAAAAAAATTAAGAAGAAAAAATGAGGTTACCTAGCCTCCTCTTCTGCAATCGGTGCTACAGGACCAACTACCGCAGGGACTGCTCCACAACCAGCAACATGGCTAGTTTCATGAAGTTGGTTCCGGGCTCCATAGAGATTCTGCACTTTGACCTTTGCCTCACCAAAAGGGCAGATCCCAGGAGGAGCTGTGAGATTGAGCCGAGGCCACCTGTCCAACTCGACTTTGACTGGCCTGTAATGACGACTGTTGTCCTCAAACTTGATAAAGGAACCTGTCAATAGTTTGGCTGCAGACAGAAATAATGGTCACTATAAGAACAGCAAAGATGTCACTATGAGAACAGCAAAGATGTCACTATGAGAACAGCAAAAATGTCACTATGAGAACAGCAAAGATGTCACTATGAGAACAGCAAAGATGTCACTATGAGAACAGCAAAGATGTCACCATGAGAACAGCAAAGATGTCACTATGAGAACAGCAAAGATGTCACTATGAGAACAGCAAAGATGTCACTATGAGAACAGCAAAGATGTCACTATGAGAACAGCAAAGATGTCACTATGAGAACAGCAAAGATGTCACTATGAGAACAGCACAGATGTCACTATAAGAACAGCAAAGATGTCACCATGAGAACAGCAAAGATGCCAAACACAAAATCCATAGATAATAAAAATAAGTTTCAACAAACTTGAAAGCTTCAAAATTAATTACATATTCCCTGTGTGTGTTCTGAGGGTCCATTTTAGGTTTAAAAAAATAAAATAATGTACCTACTGCCCCCCCCCCCCCCCCCAAGCAAGTCATAAAAGTTAACTGATTAGGGGTGTTTTCTTTGAAGTTGGAGGGCATGTGCTTTAGCGTTGAGGAACTAACAGTGTGCTTACAAATAAGCCAGATCTGTAAACTGGATATGCACACAAGACTCAAGTTCTGGAACAAGACCAAAATCCAGAAGTGGACAAACAACCAAAAGTTTCCATCGGAATGATCGGGAAGATGATTTACATTCGCCAATTACAACAAAGTTCAGGACCCTTGAGTACTAGGATTCAATTTCCATGGCAGGTAGTTTTTCTGTCTGTTTGTAAAAACCGGTCTTGTAGTTTTCAAAGGTGTGAGAGCTGCACTGTACAAGAGACTGGCGCCTGTCCATGTTAGATTCTCAAAAACACGAGTGGGGCAGCCTTCATTGTGGAGGTGACAGTTTTCTCTTTCAACACAAAGAATAAAACATTACCTATAGTCTAAGCTTTTATACGGATAATGCCTTCAAACCCAGATTTAATGTAATAGCTGCAGTGGCATAGTAGTTAGTGTACCTGCCTGCTGGGACAGGCGTATGAGTTTAACCTAGAAAAGCCAGCATCTGTTCTCACTAGTTCAGCTTTGAAGTCAAACCAGTCTCATAAGAATGGGTATCTTGACAATTTTCTGAAATTTCTGGTAACTGTGTTAGAAAGAACAGTGACGAGGAAGGGAACTAGCCACCCTACCTCATTTGTTGCCAACAGAATATGTGACAAGGAAGGTGACGAGGAAGGAAACTAGCCATCCCACCTCATTTGTTGCCAACAGAATATGTGACAAGGAAGGGAACTAGCCATCCCACCTTATTTTGTTGCCAACAGAATATGTGAAGGTTTAACCCTTCACATCCTGGCAGCAGTATCCACTATGGTACATGTTCCTAACCAAGGGTTGCGACCCCAAATGGAGTCATGAAGGGTTTTCTGTGGGGTTTTTGGGCAAATGGTGAGCTATAAAATTCTTGTTACGATAAACAAAACAAAACCCATGAAAAACCATGTCATCACATCCGGCACAGAGAACAATTTATTAATTTCTCCTGTGTTCTCATTTTGTCATCCTAAGTTCCTTGACGACTGCTTCTCCACAATATGTGATCTTCCAACAGCATGTTATCAGTTCAAGTGCTGACACCCCTTCAAGCCATGAGAAAAGACTTTAAACAATCTTTTCGTGTTGCTTTCTTTGCCCTCTTTTTCCATAGATCTTTCCGGTGGTCTCACAACATGTTCCAGCTTCTCCCTTCACATAACATGACCAACAAATGATGACTCTCTCCTTCTGATAAGATGTCTTTGAGCCTCTCCTTTTTCTAAACATCTCAGTTACTCCTTTTGGGTTCTCGCTGACCCTACTGATAAGCTTATTTTTAATATAAAGGTCACAGGTCATTTCTACCAAATGAGGTGACAACTCAAAAAAGGTTGGTTCTCTGTACTGAGCTCACTTGGACTTGTTAAAGTTTGTGCTGGTGTGGTGTGTCCTTCACCAGAAGCTATCCATCTGAATCTTGACTTTCTTCTAGATACACATAGCCTTACATTGACTGCAAATATCACTTCTTCTTATGTTGTTTATCGGCTAAAAACTGGGAAGGAAAGTTCTGGTTGTCATCCCACTGTTAGACTTGGTCTTGTTCCAGAACTTGAGTTCTACATGCACATCTGTTTTACAATTTGGCTTATTTGAACATGGACTGCTGGTTTCTCACCTATCAGGCAGATGAACTTTGACTCTAGAGAAAATACGCTCAACTAGTTGCCTCCTACAACATACATATTATGGGGCCAGTGGGTCTTTTCTCTGTTCCCTAAAATCTGGTAATCTTAGTTTCAGCTTCATAGCAAACGGGTCACCCCATAGTTGTTCCCTAAAATCTGGTAATCTTAGTTTCAGCTTCATAGCAAACGGGTCACCCCATAGTTGTTCCCTAAAATGGCGTCCTGATAAAAACAGAGTGTTGCAAAGCATAAAGTTGTATCCTGATAGGATTTCATACCCACATGTTTGAATTTTGTCTGTGTTGAGTGTTGAATTGTGAATCGACATCACAGCACTCGGAAAATTCCCATAAGTGCTGTCACAATCTTCAGCAGCAATCACAGGGTTCCAATGGCACCAGTAACAGTCTGACTGTACATCTGTCTCACCTTTTTCCTTGCGTGTTGAGTATTTACCAGATCCCCTGGTTGGTAACTCCTCACAGCATCTCTCCTCAGACTATGATGACCTATACATGCCTCTGCACTGTTCATTCGCTCCCAAAGAATCCTTACAACATCTAGCTGTGTCAGGTATCTTTGCACCATTAAATGATACAGAACCAGCCAGTCTCTCTGCATGTTTGTTTCCCAACAAACATTCATAACCTGGAGAAAATATCCAAAGAACACCAACCATCCGGGACCTCTGATGCAATGCTATATTTGTTGTCAACTACAAATTGAATAGTTCCTCTGGTGTTGGTTCTAGGGCCTCACAGAACAGACCCATGGCTCCCTAACAACTATGTCACAAAAGGTTACTTATCAATTAAAGGTTTTGTTGAAATTGGCTCAGTTGTGCCAAAAGGTAAAGATACTGCAGCCTAGCTGTAAACTGCAAAACTGTGCCAATGCCCTTTCAAGAAAGGGAGGAGAAGGAAAATGAGAACAAAAAAGAAATGGTATAACTTTTTATTCTTCTTGTCTTTTCTTCTCCTACGGTATATAAGTCCTCACTCCAGCCAAGCCATCCTTTCTTTGCCATATCTTGCAGCTCTGTCTTCCTCACAATTAACAATCCTGCTGTGAATTCTGGAGACTTTCCTGGATGAAATAAGGTGTTGGCAATCCAGATTCACCTGACTTTCTCTGTATCAGTTCTTAATTTTAGGAGACAAATCTGCCTTTATCTTAGTTTCCTGTTAAAACTTGCTCAACATGTAAGCATAAATGTCTGATAACCAATTCAGTTTACCTTTGTAGACTGCAACTACACAAAAAAAATTTTTTATGTATATAATGTTTTTAATGGTAAACATATTTTTGTCAACTGGTCTATAAAATATAGGTCTAGCCCTATATGCCCAAAAGCCTGAAGGCGTAGAAAAGGTTTCTTTACTTTTTTTAAAAACATATTTTGTTAACTCTTTTAACAACATAGAATAAATAAATATTTATTCCATTTTCGTTCACAACTGATTCCATAGCCGACATCTGTCATGAATGACGAAACAGCAACTGAAAACTGCACATAAAGGAATTATACACTTACATTTTGTTTTACTTTCTTTTAGCTTCACGTCTGCTTTCTTTGATTTATTCTGAAATAAGACAGTGTGTTCATTTTCATGCATATTTTTACATGTCTATATCATAAGCACTGATGTTCATATGGGTACAATTTTACTAATATGTAATAGCCTACTAATTGCACTTTAATATATAGCTTACTTATTGTATTCTAATATATAGCCTACTTATTGCACTATAATATAATCTGGAAAGAAGGGAAGAATACCAACAACAAGACTTAATTAAGTGTGCTATCTTTACTATAATTTTCATCCATCTTCTGTTTTTTAATCTCCTATATGAATGACATAAAACACAATGGCTACAATAATTCAAAAAATGCAGAATGGAATTCTTACTTCTTTGATACTACTTTCCATCCCAAGTTTCATCTTCCTTAACTCTTTCTCAAGCCATTTTGTTGCAGCTAAAAAGGACAGTGAAGAAAAAATAGCTAGCGTTAATTGCTTAAACTTATAATATTGCAGGAATCACATGGTCTGCTGTGTCTAGTCACTTCTGTGTTCACCTTTACAAGTCTGACTGGTTCACTGTGTTGTGGTTTACAGCTAGGCTATCTGTGACTTGCAGTCCAACACATCTGGTTTCAGCAAAACCAAAATTAATAGCCTTTTTACAACATACTCGTAAGGAAGGCAGTGGGGGTCTATCTCCCCCCCCCCTTTTCCCCAGAGGTTCAGAACTCACTGTTCAAATAAATACTATATTGCAAGAACTACAAGGTCATATTCTCTGTTTTAGAATTAATAATTGCTTCAACTCAGTTTGCTGTAAGAACTACAAGGTCATATTCTCTGTTCTAGAATTAATTGCTTCAACGCAGTTTGCTGTAAGGACTACAAGGTCATATTCTCTGTTCTAGAATTAATAATTGCTTAAACGCAGTTTGCTGTAAGAACTACAAGGTCATATTCTCTGTTCTAGAATTAATAATTGCTTCAACGCAGTTTGCTGTAAGAAAAGGTCATATTCTCTTTTCAAGAATTAATAATTGCTTAAACGCAGTTTGCTGTAATAACTACAAGGTCATATTCTATGTTCTAGAATTAATAGCTGCTTAAATGCAGTTTGCTGTAAGAACTACAAGGTCATATTCTCTGTTCTAGAATTAATAACTGCTCAAATGCACACACAGTATGCTGCAAGAACTACAAGATCTAATGTCTCTGTGGACCTAACAACTGATCAAATAAAAACTATACTGTAAGAACTACAAGAACTAGTGTCTCTGGTCTGGACCTAACAATTGTTCATATAAAAACTAAACTGCAGGAACTACAAGATCTACTGACTCTGGTTTTGACCTAACAACTGTTCAAATAAAAACTATACAGCAAGAACTACAAGGTCTAGCGTCTGGTCTGGACCTAAAAACTATTCAAATAAAAACTATACAGCAGGAAATACAAGATATATTGTCTCTGATTTGGACCTAACAACTATTCAAATAAAAACTATACAGCAGGAAATGCAAGATATACTGTCTCTGGTCTGGACCTAACAACTGTTCAAATAAAAACTAGACAGCGGGAAATGCAAGATATATTGCCTCTGATCTGGACCTAACAAATATTCAAATAAAAACTAGACAGCGGGAAATGCAAGATATATTGTCTCTGGTCTGGACCTAACAACTGTATAAATAAAAACTCTACAGCGGGAAATGCAAGATATATTGTCTCTGGTCTGGACCTAATCATACAAGTTTGACGACAGTAAAACCTGGTTCTTCCTCTTCTATATCTTTTCTACCCAAACAGAATGAGACCATACAATCTACTATGCAAATAATTATAAACACTGTGGCCAAGCTTCTTCTCTCCAAAGTGAATGTTTCCGGTTTCTTATAACATGGCCAAGAATTATGACTGTCTCCTTCGATGTTTGTGATGCTGACTTCGGACACTCGCCTCTTTCAAAACATCCAGGTTACTTTTTTGTTTCTGGCTGTCCAGGGAATTTTAAGCATTTTTCTGCAAAACCACACCCCCAAAGGCTCATGCAATGGTTCGGCTTGTTAATTACCTGTCCAGGATTCACAGATATATATTGAAACTGTCTCTATATTGCATGTGAGAATTCTTATGCCCGGTACATCGGCATTCAAATGTATACATTAGTCTGCCAGACAAACTGCAAATCTCCCACTGCACCACCCTTTCAATATCCAAGGCACTGAGTACAGCCTGCTCCACGGTCCCCCAAAAACATGAGTAATGACTTTGGTCATATGTTTTTGTTATGCTGTCTATTTCACTTCCGGATCTCCTAAATACTGTGCACGCACAAACAGAAGCCAACAGCGTAAAATGGGCTTCTCGGAGACAGGCCATACCAGAAATGCTGACTGCATAAGGGTCAAAAACTATAATTTAAACACATAAATGAGGTCATCATCATAAACCACTTCTGCCGTTAAGCGTCATGGGGAATAATAATTTGCGATCCAGTGTACGCAGGGTGCCACTGGCTATTGTCATGCTGTGAAGTGTAGTGTCTTTAATGTTGTCGGTTTACATTTTCGCAGCCGTGCTCTTGCTCTTGTAGCTGATTTTCGGAGATATAGTGCTTGTGATGTTATCTGATCTTGTTGCATTCTAAAGAGATGGTCAAACCACTTGATCTGCTATTTCTCAATAAATCTAATACAAGGTGTTGTTTTCACAACTTGTCTGACAATATTATTATACACTCAATCTCGGATTGTAAGGTTAGCGGCTTTTCTCAGGCATCTCATCTCACAAGTAGTGATTTTGCGTACATGAGCAATAGACAGTCCATGTTTGGCACTGGTAGCTTAATGTTGGAATGAATATGCTGTTTATAATCTGCCTCTTTGCACTCATAGTTGTTTCGATGTCTTAATAATGGTGACAGTTGGTATATAAATGTACTTGCTTTCTGACATCTGGTTTCTATTTCTCTATCCACTCTACTGTTTTCCGTGACATACTTTCTAGATATTTAAACTCCCTAACTTGATCAGACCAGAACCATTTAGCTGTATGAGTAGTGAGGCAGGGGTTCTACTAACATGCATTGTTTCGGTTTTGTTTGCAATGATCTCCATGTTGTATTTACTGCTGACTGCGCTTAACCTGTTAATGTGGTCTTTCAGTCTTATCTTCTTCAGGGTAGAACCTGCACTGGTCGTCAGCAAATAGTAGTTAATTTAATGAAAGTGTGTCGATTACTTCATATGTGTGTATTTCCACATGATTATAATGATCTATGTTTCATGCCTTCAGGTACATTGGGCATATGGGAAGAGCACCCATATTTTTACAGATCAATCGGCTCTTGGTGGGTAATGTGGTCAGCATTACGCCGGCCATCTTTACTTCCCCAGGACGTACATCCTGCTACCCATTTTAGGCTGGATTACCTGTGAAGCCCCGTACCATGATAAAAATCCACACAGCCAGCAGTAGACTTCGATCCCGTTACGTTGGATCGCAAGTCTAAGCCATGGCCGCTTGCAGACGCCTAAGTTAAATAAAAGTGAGGAGAGGTAATCTGATAAATTATGGCTAGTTATCATTTAAGCCATTTGCATGAGACAAAATCATCATGAATTATTTTTAAGATGCAAAATTATCCGTTTCAACCATCGTCCTATCAACTGGACATATATTCAGCAAAATAGGTTTTTCCAAACATCACATGAAATGTCCTAATTAGAGCACTAGTAGTAACTTACCTTCTGCTGACACAACTTTATCCCCAGTTTTTCAGCACTTGTGACAACAGAACTAGCCTGAACAGCAGAACAACAAGGATTACTTTACAAGTTTTCTTTCAATTGTGACCGCTGACAAAACAGGCCATGCAAGTGTGACTTTAAATAACGACAGTTGACTTGTTATCCCGACAAATAAAAAATGATTCTTCGCGCCAAATCAGATAATGAATAGGAGTTCTGGAACAAGCGTGTACGCTGCTGTTTGTCACTCAGTTTTGCTGTTTGTCACACTCAGTTTTGCTGTTTGTCACACTCAGTTTTGCTGTTTGTCACACTCAGTTTTGCTGTTTGTCACACTCAGTTTTGCTGTTTGTCACACTCAGTTTTGCTGTTTGTCACACTCAGTTTTGCTGTTTGTCACACTCAGTTTTTGCTGTTTGTCACACTCAGTTTTGCTGTTTGTCACACTCAGTTTTGCTGTTTGTCACACTCAGTTTTTTGCTGTTTGTCACACTCAGTTTTGTTGTTTGTCACACTCAGTTTTGCTGTTTGTCACACTCAGTTTTGCTGTTTGTCCCACTCAGTTTTGACACTCAGTTTTGCTGTTTAATCAGTTTTTGCTTTTGTCACACTCATAACACTGTTTTGTGTTTGTCACACTCAGTTTTGCTGTTTGTCACACTCAGTTTTGCTGTTTGTCACACTCAGTTTTGCTGTTTATCACTCTTTGTGAGGGCGGTGTTTGCCCTTTTTCCCCATGAACTGTGTGTATAATGAGCTGCTTGTATAAATAAATGTGTGTGCATCATTAATTGTTTCATTATGTTTATCATGAGCTGTGGGTGTAAGTGTCTCATGAGATGTTTGCATCAATAAATGTGTGTTTATCATGAGCTGTGGGTGTCAGTCTCCCATGAGCTGTGTGTATACAAACTGTTTTTTTTTTGTTGTGTGAATCATAAGATGTGTAAATGTGTATCATTAAGATGCGTATCATCAGTTGTTGTAATTATGCGTGTCATGACATGTGTGTATACTGAGCTGTATTGTTATCTGTGTGTGTATCATAATCTGTGTGTATCATTATATGTACACATATCGTGAGCTGTGTGTATCACTGGTTATGTTTGTATCATTGTATGTGTGTGTATCATGCGTTATGTATATCATTATCTGTGTGTGCATCTTGATATGTGTATCATTATCTGCATGAGTAGCATGAACTGTTTGTATCATAAGCTATGTGTGGTTAGTCATTTGCATGCAACAACAACATACATTTCACTAACATCTGATCTACTGTGTTGAAAATTCCTTTAACTTCTTGCAGAAGAATTGATTAATGTATTCTTGAGTAAAGAATAATAGTGCAGTAGATTCCTGTTCAGGAAAAATGGCAGAATGAAGCACTGGTAGGTGATTCTACTAAGTTCGAGAGCAATTTCCTGGTGGCAAAAAAAAAGATGTCTTACCAGATGCAGTAAGTCTGTAGTAGTTACATAACACATCCTATTTTGTTACTTTCTTCCCTATTTGTGTATATGTGTAGGACTAATCGTGATTTTTTTTCCCACTCAAAAATAAAAAGTAACAAACCTTGTTTTTGGCACAAGCAATCTGAGCTAAAGCTTTCCCTCTGGATACCTGGAAGAAACAGAGACATACATTGCTGAGTTACTTTAGAACATCTGCAATTATACGAGTATTTATGACACTATATATCAAACGGATTTACTGTCAAATTGTTAATGAACTTAAAATTCGTAGAATATTGTAAATAAAAAAAAAAAAAAATTTCAGGTTGCAATCATCTTTCCAGTCATTTTAAACATGATGTAATCATCTTTTCAGTCATTTTAACATTCTGTAATCATCTTTCCAGTCATTTTAACATATTGTAATAATCTTTACAGTCATTTCAACATATAATAATCTTTCTGGTCATTTCAACATTTTGCAATCAGCTTTTCAGTCATTTCAACATTTAATAATCATCTTTCCAGTCATTTCAACATATAATAATCTTTCCAGTCATTTTAACATGTTGTAATTATCTTTCCAGTCATTTCAACATATAATAATCTTTCCAGTCAATTCAACATGTTGTAATCATCTTTCCAGTCATTTCAACATGTTGTAATCATCTCTCCAGTCATTTCAACATGTTGCAATCATCTTTCCAGTCCTTTCAACATGTTCCAGATTTTCCTTTTCTCATAGCAAGAAAAATATTTGATACTTCCGCCATAGAGGCTGTTCACTTTTAGATTTCTCGTAAGCATTTTAAACCAAAAAACATTGCACGCCTGGTTAGTTACCTTGACCACTTTTTAATACAAAAACGTGATCTGATTAATCACCATCATAGTTTTTTGCAGACAATAAAAGATGAATCATTTGTGTACTTGCCACAACCTTCACTTCACTGGCACAGGGAGATGTCAGTACATGATCTGATTCATTCTATGGGAAGACGAGATGGTGAGGTGAGAAACATGATCGCTATGGCAGTCGACATGGTAACTGATGATGATAATGAATCTGGTCTTTCTTTTGTACATGCATATAATAATACTATACAAGGCATATCCAACAAAAGGAGAGGCACGTAGAGCAAGATGTAGACCAAGAACAAAACGGAAAAATATCAGAGAAACTCTACAGCACTATGATGTGTCTATGGTCAACGCAGCCAGAATAGCACGAAGCAGGACCTTATATAAGAGGAAGTAGAGAAGAAGAAGATATAGTAATACAAGAATGTCTTTGCACTGGAACAATCAGCAGAGGACTGACATTGGAGAACTGAGCACACAAAGGAATGCCCAATGTGCAGTAATGTCGACTGTGAAAACATAACAACCAAACAATTACAACGACATCAACAACAGTTCAGTCTGCTTGACGGACTTACTACCACTGTCTTGGCTTCTGGTGGGACCGCTGGAGAGGCAATACTGTTGAAAGGGCTTGGAACAAAAGATGGACTCTGTGGGTTTTCCTCGCGACTGACTTTCTCATCAGGTTTTGAAGGCCCGGAACTTGATATCACATAGTTCACCTCAACACTCAAAAATTTCTCCACTCTCTGAAAGTACAATTATAAGACCTCAATAAATAAATTCTTCATTTGTTGTCACAATTATCAGATTGTAGTTCAATGTTGTGGATTTCAGAATTTGTCTTGAGCTTCACAGATGACTTGAGTGATAGATTTACAGGATTCAAATACATTGTCTATCCATGTTTTCTTTGGTCTTGCTCGTGCCCTCCATCCAGGTGTTAGTAGAAGGTCTTCTTCTTCACATTCACCAGCCATACTTAGATAAAAAGATCTGGTTATTTGTCCACCTCCAGACTTAAAGACTTGAATCAGAACCTGATTTTGTGTGCACACCTGTTTTACAGATCTGATGTTTTTGTATGCATGCTTCTGGTTTCTTGCCTCACAGGCAGATACAACACTCACACTCTGAAGTCAGAGTGTATCTGCACGACAGGAAAGAAACCAGCAGCCTGCATACAAATAAGTCAGCTCTGTAAAACAATTATGCATACAAAACCCAAGTTCTAGAACAAGTTCAGGTTTTGTTTGTGATATTGTGAAGCTCGCTGATATACTTTTCATTTTGTTTTATTTCTTTTCCTAGAGCCAGATCTAAGTCTGGAATTGGATGAACAACAAGAACTGTCTAATGGAGCTTTCAGACGGTGAACGCTAAGGAAGGAAGGATAACCCATATTGGCCCAGTGGTAGTTTATCTGATACAGTCACTCAGTTGGGCAGGGAAAGAATGAAATAAATGCTTGAACCTGCTGCCTAGCAGGTCTCAAAAATAGAAGCGACTCCAGTGAAGCCGATAACAAAATATAATTAAGTACAACATAAGATATGACCACTGGCATATGTGGTTTAGCTGTTGTAAACAAGCTTTGTAATTCAAAAATACTGTTTGATTTTGGCTGCAGACGATTTGGATGCAAACCGCTTTGCAGCAATTTTGACACTGGTATGGAGCACAGTTTGCTTAGAAAAACTACAACAGCTAGAAAAAAATGGAGCACAGACAGTTCCGAAACAATGTACTACTGAACGTAAAACTGGTCTGTAAAATTTTCAAACAGCTAACAAATGCTTGAGCTGGTTCTGCAACATCCTTTAATGGAGACTCTACTCAATGTGGGTGTTCTAAATCACATCACAACTTAATGCCTGTGTTCTAAATCACATCACAACTTAATGCCTGTGTTCTAAATCACATCACAACTTAATGCCTGTGTCCTAAATCACATCACAACTTAATGCCTGTGTTCTAAATCCCATCACAACTCAATGCCTGTGTTCTAAATCACATCACAACTTAATGCCTGTGTTCTAAATCCCATCACAACTTAATGCCTGTGTCCTAAATCACATCACAACTTATTGCCTGTGTTCTAAATCACATCACAACTTAATGCCTGTGTCCTAAATCATATCACAACTTAATGCCTGTGTTCTAAATCCCATAACAACTTAATGCCTGTGTCCTAATTCACATCACAACTTAATGCCTGTGTTCTAAATCACATCACAACTTAATGTGTGTGTTCTAAATCACATCACAACTTAATGCCTGTGTCCTAAATCAGATCACAACTTAATGCCTGTGTCCTAAATCATATCACAACTTAATGCCTGTGTCCTAAATCACATCACAACTTAATGCCTCTGTCCTAAATCATATCACAACTTAATGCCTGTGTCCTAAATCACATCACAACTTAATGCCTGTGTTCTAAATCACATCACAACTTAATGCCTGTGTTCTAAATCACATCACAACTTAATGCTTGTGTTCTAAATCACATCACAACTTAATGCCTGTGTTCTAAATCACATCACAACTTAATGCCTGTGTTCTAAATCACATCACAACTTAATGCCTGTGTTCTAAATCACATCACAACTTAATGCCTGTGTCCTAAATGATATCACAACTCAATGCTTGTGTTCTAAATCAAATCACATAAAAACATAACACATAAAGCTACACTCACGGCCCCCAATTTTTTCAGCTGTTCCTCCATAAAATCTGCCTGCCTGCTGTTTTTGATATCCATGTAAACTGCCTTATTCAGCAATGGCAACTGCTGCTTTGGTGCCCCAAACTCCAGTCGTCTCCTGCCTTTAGGAGGAGCTTCTGTGAAAATAAAAATATTTAAATTATTAAGTGTTAATTTTTTTCCATTTGCTGACACGTTTATTAACTGTTTCAGTCCCAGGGTGTTTAGCATCAGAGGTCCAAGGGGTGGTCCAGAAACACAAAATTGGCACATCTTGCGTTCACATGGCTTCTAGGTAAGAATTCATGAACGTATGAAGCATTCCTTGGGACTTGAAGAGTTATTCAGATGCACAAGTGAAGCACACAAAAGATAATGATGAAGAGCTAACATTAATGAAACATCAACTCCATGCACACACTGTAAAGCAAACAGTAAAGCACCGTTTTTATCTGATCTATATTTGTAAAGACAAATCTGTGTACATTGTGTGATATGATCATCACAATGTCAGCCACTTTTTCTTCCCAGGACATTACCTGGTACCAATTTTAGGATGGAAGCCAAAGTCGTTTCTGAAGCAAGAAAAAATCAGGTTCTGCGAAGGCCTGAACCTTAGGCACTAAGAGCCTGCTTGTAAATATCCCTAGTATGATCACATATGACTGCTTTCTCCGGTAACACCCTTGGCTAGTTAACTCAAAGGTAAGGAGTACTACAAACAAACAAAGGGGGGGGAGGGGGGGGGAGATTGATGATCACTCAACTGGACATTATCTGGTGTGGGTTCAGGGCACCATTTTGGAATTTTTAAAACACCCCTCCCCCATACAAGGCAACTAATTAGGATTGCTGAAATCAGATGTGAACAGCGCAGATATCACATGCTGGCTGTAAACCACAACACACAGTTTCAAATGCTCTTGTGAGAGTGAATCAGAAGAGGACTCTTGCAACTTTTAAAACTGATTAACCTGGGCTTTAGGAAGTCAGCAGTTAATGGTGAGCAACCAGAACTATTCAGAAAGCAATAGCAGATTAAGATAACAGGTCAGAAAAAAATGAGTGAATGAATGGGGAACACTGACATTGTATGAGTTCATTGTAACGGTGGGAAAGTTGGAGCGAAAGATGTATTACAGAAGTTAAATGTAAAATAGATCAAGTGAAGCCAGCATTTTACCAAACGAAAAATATACTATGCATTTTTTTTTTAATTTTTGAAGCTGCGGAGATGAAGTTTTATAGAGACGAATGATAATCACACAGGACTAGCTAACACAGGAACTGACTGCCCATTTCAGTAAAAGGCAGTCTATATTCTTTGTTCATGTCACGAGAAGGAGAAAGCTATGGTATATGGTGACAGTTGGAAAACTGGAGTGGAGGAGAGGCAGAGGGAGACCTGTAGAGAAGATGCTGGACAGTCTGACATCGAGGCATGAAAGATCATCATGTGTCGGAACTGATTAAAGTAGATGCGACTAAAGGTTGTGGATAGACATTTCTACCAATGCCCCACGGCATAGCCTTTAAGAAAAAAAGGAAGACACATGATGAGAGTTACATTCTCCATTAAATATGAACGGGTGTAATAAAAATAACATGTTATACTGATAACAGCGTTCCCCCCCCCCCCCCCTTCCCCAACTTGAATTACACATTATTTAGTAGTTGAGTTGAGTCAATATCTGACATCAGAGCACACAGGGCATTCCCATGTGTGCTCCATCCTCATCTTCAGCAGCCAGAGCAGTGTTCCAATACTGATGGTACCAGTCACAATATGGTTTTATGTTCGTCTTGCTTTTCCTCTGAGTGTAATGAGCCAGCCAGATCCTCAGCTTACACCCAGGTGCCTCATTCTCTCCAGGCCGTAATAATCCTGTTTTTTCTACTGATTCCGTTGCTTGTTCCCAAAGGGCCTTGACCATATCTGTCTTGCCATGTATCAATTCACCACCTAGTGGTGCAGATGCAGCCAATCTGTCTGCCTGTTCATTACCCACCATGCTAGCATTGCCTGGAGGTTTTTAGTCACCATCGGGTGGCCCAAAAATCCTTATGGTTAATCCCTGCTGTGCCATTCTCTGCAGATCATTATGATCTATTCACACTATTATAGGAGCTTTTCCAAACACACAGTACTTACTTCCTTTTTCTTTAGTATGTTTCATATTTGTTGGTGCGTATCGTGCCTAATAAAGAACAAGATGTAAATCAATTAAGAAGGTGCTGCTTGTGTTGCCTCTGTAGGTTCTGGCTTGACACAGCGTACTGAAGCTTCATCGCACTTAATCCACAGCAGGCAACAGATTCTAGTTGAAGTCTTAGCTAGATCTGACAACATAATGAAAAAGACAACAATAAAAACAACGAAAAATGTATTATTTTGAACAAAACAGTAGGTGAATGTGAAATCTACATCACAGCACTCTGTACATTTCCATAAGTGCTTCATCCCCATTCCTCAGACAGCAAGCACAGAGCTCCAATTCCAATAGTACTGTCCGTTTTGCCTTTCCCTGGAGTGTTGAGCATCTGCCAAATCCCCTGGTTACTCCTCGCAGGATCATTCTCAATGATGATCTTTATGTGCCTCTGCACTGTCCTCGTAATCTCTAAGGACCTTTACAACACCTAGCTTGTCAGGAATTAATTCATCACAAAGTGGTGTGGAACCAGCCAGCCTATCTAAAGGACACTAAACACCCAGGACATTTAAAATGATGCTTGTGACTCTGCATGAAGTATACTTGTCTCCACCTTTCTCAACATGCTCTGTGTGTCAAGTTACAACTACAGCATGTGTGCACAGTTGGCTCTCAAACCAGCAGAAGTTTGCAGTGACTGTCTCCACCTCCAAAGATCAAGCTGTAATGAGGAAAGATTTTTCACAACTGCCCTAGGTTCCCAGCTTGATCCAGCCTAAAATGGGTACCATGTAATATCCTGCAAGCAAAAAGGGTGTGGCATAATGTTAACCATTTCACCCAATGAGTACTGAATGGTTTATAGAAATGTCACATCACCAACTAATGTACCAAACACTGGACACAATCAGTAGTCACAAAGCATTTTAACTGTAGCTGAGACACTGACTGTGATCTGGATGCTTCTCAGGTTCGAAGACTACTTGAGTACTATTTAAGTTTAGAGAAATAGTTGGTCCTATGAGAGCCAAAGTAGCCTAGTGTTTAGTACACTGTTAAAACAATGGCTTGGATTCTTCTTTATCTTTTGGTTTCTTTCTTCAAAGAGCAGTTGGCACGCTGTATTGTGTCGTGCTCAAATATGTGCAAATTTTGATCCAACACATTCGATTTCAGCAAACCCTTTGTCATCTTTCACCATATGCTTGTCAAGGAGCAGCGGGTATTCTGTTTTTCGTCAAAACTGAGGCCATGGAACCTATATGGGAAGTGGTCTTGCTTTATTTACTAGCAGTAGCAGCATTTTTTTTAAGACATTAAGTTCTGGAGTCAACTCAGCCTCACAAACACTGGTACCAGATAGTTATCAAAATTGTCATTGAACTGCCTGAAGGAGTGACAAGGAAGAAAATAGGCAACCCCACTCCTTTTTCTGCTCTTAATATTATGTATAGGGGCCCCATTGTAAGGGAAAACAAGAATAGACCCACTGCCTGCCCAGAAGTATGTCGTAAGAGTCAACTAACAGGGAGCTTCCTTTGAAGTCAGAGTGCATGTGCCTGAGAGGCAAGGAACCAACTGTCTGATGGAAACGAGTCAGACCTGTGAAATGAAAGTGTACGCAGCACTCAGTTTCTGGAACAGGACTGGAGCCCACAAGTGGACAAATGGCCAGAACTTTCTGCCGCAGTTTACAGCCGATAAACGCCAAGAAGAATATTATCTACACTGATTTATTAACATAACATATTTCTAGATGGAACAGAATTGTGGGAGAGGTGATTGTTTGAAAGGGCCGAATCTAAGATGGGCTTGCATGCTCTATTTGACCCTTTAAAAAAAAAATTATGTTCATTCCTTCATTCTCTAGTTCTGTTCTGCCTTTCATCTTCAGGTTCAAAAAAAATACTTTTTTCTTTTGTCTTTTTCTTGTTAATGTCCACATTGGGCACTGTCAAGAAAATGTTGGTAAAAATACTGTATTGAAAAGTGCTTTGCTGATGTCAGTTGTTACATGTTCTGCAACATTGGTGATATATTTCCAGTGATTTTGTTTGCTTTATTACATATTTGTTCTACTTCTTTTCCATTGGATATCATATTAAGCTCCTAGTTACTTGTCTTCTGTATGCTTGAGTTGGTTTTCTATACATATCTGGATTGATTTATTTTTTTCCCTGCAATGATTTTCTGTTCTTTCAATTTTACTATTCATGTCTTGTGCTTGTGCTGCTATGCTGAGAATATTCAGACATCTCTGCATCTTTTCCTCTGTAGCTGCCAAGAGTGCTACCCCACATGTGTTAAGGCACAACATTTCACACCCTATGGGTGTAACTGCTATAAGATTACTTGAATATGGAACAGTGAGAAAGTTATTTTTTATACATATATGGGTGTATGTCACGAGTGGTGTTTAGGCTGGTGCCATTCAGAGCATGTTCCATTCACCAGTGGGCACTACAAAGAGACTGATCCAGACATACCAAGTAACAAAATAAGTAAGAAATGCCTTTGACACATCTGAACAGAAGAAAGAATCAAGAGTTCACTATACTATATCAGGGCAAACTGGCTTTTGTGACAATCAATGCACATTGGATATGAGACAGAATACATGAGCATGCATTTAGGTGGGTGGGATGCTTGATTTCAATCAATCCCGCATGAACCAGATGCCTATTTTATATTATATTATTTTTGACTATTTTATTTATTATACAGTTGATTAAATAATTTCTGGACAGGAACAAAGTACTGTTCTTTGTTAAGTTTTCAGTATTAAAATTTCCTAACGACATATTATGTTAGCATGTCATTACATCTTTATCGCCTCTTTTCATCATCATATTTATGTTGCTGTTGATATTTATCCACTAGATACGCTCACAATCAAAATTAATATTGGCATAATAATTTGATACAGTTTCCTTCTGTTTCTTTTGTCAGTTTGCAATTTGCATTAAACATTTTTGTAACAATTTAAACAAAAACAAACAAAAAAATTAAAATTTTGCGAATCTTGATCACTGATCTTCTCTGATTAGAGAATAATCAAATTAAGAAAGGAATAACAATAATATCTTAGACTAACTGCACTTTTGGACTCAGCAATAAGTAAGTGAGATTATTTCAATGAGTATTCCACAATGTTACCTGTTTCCTGCTAAGTGAAAGTGTATTGTGTGTGTGAAGAGCAGAAAAAGTAAAAAGTCCATATTAATATATTATATTAGTATTTGTTAAAATAGTTAAATAAACAATGGAAATGTATTATTAGTTGTTTGTTATTCTTACATGCTTTACTTTACATGTTAACTCAAAAGATTACAGGCTTTATGTAATTTATATTAATTATATTATTTATTATATGCAAGAGACAGTCATTTAAATATTTAATTTTTAAATAAATTATAATATATAATAATGCGTACCAACAAAAACTAATTATAATTATTAGGTTCATTTAATTTCAATTGACTCACTCCAAACGTAAACTAAAAAGAAAACATCGTTTTACTTTAGTTTTCATTGATTTAATTTAATACAACTTTTAAAATCAAGAGTTGTAATAATATCTGCAGCAATGTCTATATTTTAGCATACATACAAAACGACTAGGGGCAACAATGTATCGCGCAGTGTACTAAAAGAATTTCATGTGCATCACAATCACTATCAGAATGAGATATCCATTTTATCATGCATTGTGACAATTCTCTGCAGACTGCAGCTGACTAGTCGGACGAAAGCTTAGAAATTGTTACCGAAAGTCACCGACTAAAGAATTAAATCCTAAAACATTTTGCTGGGAAAAACAAACAAGTCAAATATATACAAAAAATAACAAGCGTCTATGTCAGAATGAGAATACTTGCGATCAAACAGTGGGAAAACATTGATCAGAAACGGGTAAAAGTTACCCACCTCCTCCATCTGTTGTTTCGTTTTCTCGCGCTGAAATCTGCTGCCAGGTGCTCGTTCACATCAGTGGCCAACTTGTGGATGGATTCAGAGGTGGCACGTAATAAATAATAAGAATGAAAAAGATTAGTAATATTAAGTTATTATGTGTTTATTTCTCCCAGGCGAACCCGGTCTTGAATAGTTACCAGGTGAAGTCCGGGAAGTAAAGTCGGTGGGTGTAATGCTGATCCCATCACTCACCAAATACCTATTGGTCTATAAAATATAGATCTAGCCCTATATGCCCAATACGCTTTAAAGTGTGAAAAAATGTTCTTTGCTTTGCTGTGTGTTTGTTTATATTTGTGTAATGGTGATGAGTTATGAAAAGCAGCTTACTTTAGAAAAAATATTACAAATAAACATTTGCATTAATTGGATGATCGAGATATTGTCATTATGATTGACTGACTGGTCAAGGCCGTCTTCAATATATCTTCCCTTCTGCAGATAGCAGTACCTGATCAGACACCAAGACAAGTTATAGCGATCACATAAGGTGTAGAGATGACAGTTTTCCAGAATACTCAATCGTTGGACGACCAGCTACTGTTCTGCACTATTTTTCCAAGATACAAGATTGCTGTATAGTAGCATAGAAAAAAAAGTTGAAGCAAAGAAAAAAATCTAACAGACGTCGAGCCTCGCATAAAGTAGATGACCAGAAAATAGGAAAACAAATCACCAATACCACCAACACGAGAGGAACCAAGTCTGCAACAATGAAGGATACTAACAATACCGGAGAAAAGTAGAAACGACCTAAAATACATCCGCAGCAAATGAACGGATCGAGGCGTTAGTAATAAAAGGTAGTCTAGTGAAGCATGTCAGCCAAGCGGAAGTCACTACAACGGAAAATAGCCATCCAGATGACCAAAAACCTGCAAACCCAATACAGATTAAATCACGCTGAGTTCACTAGCTAACGACACGGCCAGCTCCAGATTTATACAGCCGGACGTGGTTAACGACACCGAATTCCCGGCAACGATGATGATAAGACAGACCAGCGTGGGACAAGCGTCAGTTACTGCCCTAACTACGCTGGCAATACG